AGTAAAAAGGCGAGGTCTGAGCATGTGGGCCTTTTACAAAATAAGCTATAGTGGGTGACTGGGGACAAAGAGAAGGAACATTTATTAATTACCTTCTTCAGCTGGGGGGAGCTCATGTCCATGATGAGCATGGTATTGACAGAGCCCCAAATGATCCACAATTGCTCAAAAATGATATGGTCCAGAAATATTTAAACAAAATAAATGTTAATAAAGAACCTGGACCGGATGGCATACGCCAACGGGTCCTAAACAAATTGAGCTCTGTCATTTCAAAGCCTTTGTTTCTAATTTTTAGGGACTCTTTAATGACAGGCATAGTACCTCTTGATTGGTGTAAGTCCAATGTGGTGCCTATATTTAAGAAGGGATCAAAGTCTTTACCAAGTAATTATAGACCTGTTAGTTTAACTCCTATAGTTGGGAAGATACTGGAGAGTATAATAAAAGATCACATAGATGAGTTATTGTTGGATAAAAATATTTTAAGCAACAGACAGCATTGATTCATGTAAGACAGAAGTTGTATAACAAATCCGATTTCTTTTATGAGGAGGTGAGCAAAACACTGAGGGGTGGCTGTGAACATGGTATACTTTTGCAAAAGTGTTTGACACAGTTCCTCACACACGGCTAATGTGTTCGGTACAATCTACAAGCTTGGAAAAATCAGTTTGCAAATGTATAGAAAAAAACTGGCGAAAAGACCGTATTCAAAGAGTAGTGGTTAATGATTCACACTCTGAATGGTCTGGGGTTGTTAGTGGTGTACTGCAAGGTTCATTTAAAAAAGATACAGGGTCTGGGATTAAAAGTACCATTTCAGTCTTTGCAAATGACACCACGTTATGCAGTGGAATAACATCCTACATACAGGACGTCTCCAATTTACAAGTCAATCTCAATACATTGTTTAATTGGGCAACTATGTGACAAATGAGGCTTAATATGGATAAATCTAAAGTTATGCGCTTGGGAGATAAGAATATGCATGCATCATACGTACTAGAGCTAGTACAAGTGGGGGAATCAATGGTGGAGAAGGATCTGGGTGTTCTGGTAGTTCATAAGCTTAATAATCAGTGGTGCACCGAAATGAAAATTCTGGTGCCGAAAGCGAAAATGAAAATTCAAAATGCACTTGGCCGAAAATTGAAACTGAAACCGAAATGCGCAGTTTTTAATAATGAATATATATTTTTTGGAAAAAAAATACACTTTGATTAAAAAAAAACAATATATACCTCAATTGTTTTGTAAAATATGTAAGAGGATGTTACAGCGAGTAAATAGATACCCAACATGTCACGCTTTAAAATTGCGCACACTCGTGGAATGGCATGAAACTGCGGTACTTAAAAATCTCCATGAGTGATGCTTTAAAAAATTCTACAGGTTAGCAGTATAAAGTTATGGAGGAGGTCTAGAGCGAGAATTATTGCTCTTGCTCCGATGTTCATAGCGATACCTCACTTTAAACTTTTTTAAAAAAAAATTTTTTATTTTTTTTTGTTTTTTTTTTTGCACTGTTCCTTTTAAAAAAAATTTAATCACCTTTATTCTTATTACAAGAAATGCATGTATCCCTTGTGATAGGAATAATTAGTGACAGGTCCTCTTTATAGAGAGATGTGGGGTCAATAAGACCCCACATCTCTCCTCTGCAATGTAAAGCATTGGATCAAAAAAGCATTGATCTAGTGCTTTAAAAAAGACAAAAAAAAATGGCTGGAACCAGAAGTGGCATTGCTCCGGTCCTCCAAGGGCATAAAAATGAGTGGTGGCCATCTTTCCTTCACCCATCTCTATGCCCAGCGCCGGGATCGATGGTTTCTCAGTTATGACTGCACTACAAAGCAGCAGGCGGCCGACGGCGGACAGGTGGCGGCAAGGGGGCAAGGGCAGCTTTAAGGGGCGGGGGGGGGGTTTTGTCACCTGTATCGGTGCTTTTTTTTTTCATTTCGTCCGACAGCCGAAATGGATGTTTTCAGCCGCAACATTTCAGCCAGCAGAATTTTGGTGCATCCTTATTACTAATGGCATGCAATGCCAAGCTGTGGTTTCCAAAGTGAGCAAAATCCTCTCTTGTATTAAAAGAGGTATAGGCTCCAGAGAGAGAGATATCATTTTGCCCGCTGTACAAATCATTAGTAAGACCTCATCTGGAATATCCAGGGGAACTGGAGAAAGTGCAAAGAAGGGCAACCAAACTGAGAAGAGGCATGGAGGAGCTCAGCTATGAGGAAAGATTAGAGGAACTGAATTTATTCTCTCTTGAAAAGATGAGATTAAGGGGGGATATATTCAACATGTATAAATACATAAGTGATCCATATACTGTAGTGAACGCGGTGTAGAGTTATTCACCTTAAGGTCATCACAAAGACAAAGGGGGCACTCTTTACGTCTGGTGGAAAAGAGATTTATTCTTCAAATACGGATAGGTTTCTTCACAGTAAGAGCTGTGAAAATGTGGAATAGACTCCCTCAAGATTAGGTTTTGGTCAGCTCAGTAGATTGCTTTAAAAAGGCCTGGATTATTTCCTAGATACACAGAATATAACTGGATACTAACATTTATGAGTAAAGTTGTTCCAGGGAATATCTGATTTGCCTCTCGGGGGGATCAGGAAGGAATTGTTTTTCACCTGCAGTAGTAAAATTGGTCAAGCTTTGCTGGGTATTTTTGCCTTCCTCTGGATCAACTGTGGGTATAGGATTATAAAAATGTTTTTTTCCTTTTTCTGGTTAAACTAGATGGACTTTCTTCAGCCAGACTAACTATGTATGGACTATGGCTACCTGTTTGGCCTGTCATTTGTTTGCCCTCCAGTAGGCCTCGAAAGCCTAAATCACATTAAGACAGATAGCCCGCAGACCGCAGACCACAGCCCCCATTGGGCTGACTCAACTGCTTAACCTTGGGTAAGTCCAGGTTTTTCATGCCAAGGACATTCGTTACCAGGGCCAAAGGCTGTGGGATGACCATGACCTCCACTCGTTCCACACACTGGTCAAATATTTGTACTTTCACCCCAGTGATCCCCTCCACCACGATCGGTAAGTAGTTAGAGGCTTTTCAGGGACAACCACGAGTGGTCTAATTGGTCCTGAGTCCCAAACTGTTGGACGTAAAAGTAATTTCATGATGATGACTTTGGATCGAGTGTCGATTAGGCAGGGAACCAGCTGGCCAATCACCAGAGAGGTGACTACAGGGCTTGGGCCAACCATGGATTCTTGCTTGGTAGGACATTGATGGGCCCATTCCCGGGGGTCGTCCTTCCACCCCAGGAACCTCTAGTTTAATGGTTGGCAAGGACTGCTTCTACTCTGGTGAGGTGCCTGTAGTGTCCCTCAAGATTAGGTTCCCATCACCATCAGTACCTCTGGTCCTCATTGGGATTTCTTCTTTTGAAATCTGGCCCAACTCTTGTTTAATGGTAGATATTTCTAACCACATAGATGCCACGTTCTGTGTCAGCTTCCCGATAGTCCTCTGCAGGGCAGACAGTGGGGAAGGAGCCTCCTCCCTCATGTACAGGGGTTCACTTTTCTTTGCCAAGGCAACCTTGGCTTCCTAATACTCCTTCTCTCAGGCCACCTTCCTCCATGATATCATTAAACATAAAGGAGGGTTGAGCTCTCACTTGTTCTTGCAGGGCTCTGCAAATGGGGCTGGGCACTCACCCCTCCAATGAACTGGTCCTGTAACAGCTTGTCTGGGGCGCCACCCCTGTAAGTTCTCCTTCTCCAGTCATTTCCATAGTTTTTGGAGGGCTACAGCAAAGTGTGTGAGGTTCTTGCCCTCTAGTTGCCTACAGATTAAAATCTGCATCGCAATTCAGTGAAGGTACATTCTCCCCAACCAGGTTCTCTAACTGTGCCACGATATGCTCAAGGATGTTGCACTCATCCTCTGGGAGCACCATGACTGCTTGGTGGACATCATCCTCCAGCTAGTTAAGTTCCCCCTTGTCCTCCACTCTCCCTGCATGACAGCCGCCAAACAGCACCACCCTGAAGGGAGGCTAAACTGCCTCTGTGATACACTATGTCCCTTGTGCTGACTTTTTCCTTACATTTTCACCTAACTGACTGGCTTACCTAGAGTATTCGACATCCAGGGAGGATACTTTTAATACTCACCTGCTGTTTTACGACAACATTTTTATCAGGAATGATCTTGAAATGAAATTAATAATAGTAACAGAAATGAAACACAGGTAGTGAAAATTGTGCATTCTCTAACATTACTGGACAATTTAGGTGCAACCCTTTATGTTAGTAGTAAGTGGAAAATTGTCCCCTTGCATTGGTGATCAGTGTTGGTAGTAGATAGTTTCACCGCTACTCAAGGAGCCCCTAGCAACCTCAGGAGGAAAACTAGGGTTTAGTGGAAGTCTGATTGAGAATAGCTAGTCTACATCATCTTAATACCTCAGGTCATAGGTCTTTTCTGTGTCACCCGATAAACCAGACTACAACGTTTGGCATCACAACTACAAAAATTTACCTGAAATCCACCAGAACCACTGAGACAAACTACCTCCAGTCACACTGTGGATAACTGCATGACAATTGTGTGATGATTCAAGATCCTTCCCTAAAGCCATACCTCCCAACTTTCTGACATGGGAATGAGGGACACCTACTATATTGGCTTTAGAAATTTACAAATACAATAATTTAGAAATTGGAGGAAAGGTTAGCACTGTGAAACACTTTTTGATAGCTAAGAAGTACATTTTATATATAACTATATAGATCATACCAAAATGAGGGACAAATGAGGAGAACAGATGGACAGAGGGAATTTGTTCCAAATGAGGGACAGTCCCCTGAAATCAGAGCTATGCCTAAAGCAAGTATCACAAGTGGCTGCATAGTTAAATGTAAATAATACTCCACATGTAGTACATGTTTTCTTACTATTTTACTTTGTGACACCATAAATAGAAAGTTCATATGTACTGTGTTTATGCAACTATTCAATTTTACTTGTCCTTACAGGAAAGGCAGACTGCCCATATTATGCCAAAGCAGAACTTCTTGCTGACTATCTTCAGAAAAACCTGCCACATTTCAGAGTTCATAAAATCACCTGTCATCCTGATGACTGGGAGGTAGGAGACCAGAGAATGTCAATTTAAAATCTTTGTTCTTTTTTGACGAAAGGGAAATTAGCTTATGTGCATATAGGAATCCACTTCAGTGTAGTGATCATAGCATGTTTATGAGAAGGTGGACTTTTTTGATTCATTCCAGTTGGGGATACATTTTTACCCATTCTACTTCTAAAATGAAACTTTAATACAGTGCAGATCTTTCCTTACTTGTCTGTTTGTCAGTGTGAATATTAGTGTTGTATTTCTTTTTAAAAACTTGAAAGAAACAATGAAAATGGAATGAAGAATAAATTAAACTGGAAGCATTGTTTAAATGGATGAATACATTGATTAAAACACAATTAAACTTTCAGTTTGATTCAGTTTATTACATTACAGATGCATAATGACAAAAAGCACACACATTTTTACAGATGGTTTTCCTTAGAAAGCAGTCACAGCCTGAGATGTGGTCCCTGCTGAGTCTAAGCTAGAGCTCTCCAACCTGTAGTGAGCCGGAGCTTTGATGTGTACAGAGTTACAGTATATGTCTGATTCAGCAGGAGGGATGCTGGACTTATGTGTTGGAATACAGTGTTCATATTTTTCGTGCAACAACTACATCAATATTCAGTAGAGATATATTCTTCAACCAGTAGATGGTCATGTTTGTAAGTTCATAGCTGAATCTATAGCAGGACTCAAAATTTCAAGTCCTGAGTTACTAGCCAGGACTTAAGAGTTACTCGCCACCAGTTGCCCCACCCAACCCCTACCCTGCCCTTAATTCCACCCTCAAACACGCACTTGGAAATTATATAATGAAATGGCACTGTTAACTGTTTTATGCAGAATGAAGGAAGGAAAAAAGGAAGTAAAAAGTGGCAGTAAGGAAGGGTAGAAGGGAGAAAGGAAAGGAAGAGTGGAAGGTAGGAAGGAGTGGAAGGGAGGGGAGGGGTGGAAAGAAGGAACGGAGTGGTGGAAGGAAGAAAAGGTGGGAGGGAGGGTGGAAGGAAGGGAGGGGATAAAGGGTGGGAGGGGTGAGAGGGAGGGTGGAAAGAAGGGTGGGAGGGGTGGAAGGAAGAGAGGGAGGGGTGGAAAGGAAGGGAGGGGTGGAAGGGAGGGAATGAGGGGTACAAAGGAAGGGAAATTGTACACAGAGCAGCCGACAGCTGTGATGTTTCTGACTGAGTCATGTGAGTCTGACCTCCCTTCCTCCCACCTACCCCTCTCTTCCTTTTCTCTCCACCCTCCCTTCCTTCCACCCTTCACTTCCTTACACCCACCCACCCCTCCCTTCCTCTCTTCCTTTCATCGACCCATCCCCCCTCCCTTCCTTCCACCCTCCCTTCCTTCCACAGGGGGAGGCAGAGCAGATCCAGCCTCTCTCCCCTCTTCTCCTATTGGTGCAGAGGATGGGGGGAGGGGCTGGGCACTGAGGAGCACACAGAGGGGGGGGCCCAGAAAGAAACTGAACGATTGGAGTTGATCGATCGGTGCAGTGCCGGGGGGCAGTGACAAGCAGCGATCTTCTGTATGACTTTCAATGAAGCAGCTGGAAATTGCTTCTCCTCCTTTCCCTCCCACGGTTTTCAGCTGCTTCATTGTAAGTCATACAGAAGATCGCTTCTTGTCACTGCCCCCACCGCCGCCCGTCCCACACACTCCTAGCCCTGGAGCTGCTCTCCCTCACCTTATTTCCACTCGCCCAATGCGAGCAGGCGAGTGGAAATTTCAAGGGCTGATCTATGGTATAATGTATGTCTATTAAGTTTCCCTGTTGCAGTGAATCAGCAAAGCTGTGCACTGTTTGTTCTTTAGGGCTATATACAGAATTTCTAAAACTGGTTCTACACAGTGAGGAAGGGCTTTTCTCTGTAGTATGCTGGCAGGGGGCAGGCTGTGACTGTATGACATTGCACACCTGTTTTGATGCACCTAGAATGTACTTAGCTGGTTTATGGGTTGTCTGTCTCCGCTGGCATTACATATTCAACACTCACAAGTGCTTAACATTTTGTAAGCATTTGCAAGCAGACAGACAGCAACTGCGTCACAGTTTTCAAAACAAAAAAAAAAACTTTTAGCTGGACTAACACTTTAGCCTAATAGTTGTAAAGATAAATTTTAATAGCTTCAGGTAAATTTTAACTATTTCATCTAAATATCATGAACAATGGAGTACTGTCCGTGATACTGCTTAGACCTGAAGAAGGGGACATTCCCCGAAAGCTTGTCCTCAAAATTGTATGTTAGTGCAAATAAAAAAAGTATCACGGACAGTATTCAATTGTTCCTGTCACAAATGCACTAAGATGGCTACAATCACCTCAAGCATAATGTAAATATCATGAAATCTCCTATCCAGACAGCAAGTGGAGCTTTAGTCTTTTTTGTATCATTATCCTGATTACTCTTAAGCTGTGCAGGGAAAAAGTCCTTGATATCAGAATGCAGTCATCAGAGCAGTAACTCTTTGCTTATCAGAGAACTTATTAGTGACTTCTCAATGAGCTTAGGGTCTATTCACAAATAGGAAATGCGTTGCAGTGCGCTAACAAATGCACAATATATATATATATTGCACTAAAGTGGTTCTAAAGGTAAAAGGTTTTATATCTTAATGCATTCTCTGCACAGGATGTGCACAAGAGCAGTAGCTCTCTTGACGCTCTCTCTCTCCTCACTTGACAAGGAGATAGCAGCGGGAGCCATTGGCTCCTACTGCTGTCAATCAAAGCCAGTGAGGACAGGGCAGGAGAAAGGACCAAGCCCTGCTCTGTGTGTCAATGGACAAACAGAGGACACCTCAGTTGTGAGCCTGGACGAGTGCCCCCAAGCAAGCAGATAAAAGGATTTTACTTTAATTGCAGTACTGTAGCAGATGGAGGAAGGTATGATATCTTTTACAGAGTTAGTGATTACTGGAAGGTTAAAAACTGGTAATGAGGAATAGTAAACACCCAAATCCAGGCAAACTTTTTCTTTATTTTGGATAGTGCAAGGAAGAGCCTGTTGTATTTTATTCCTGGCATTCACTTTTTGGCAGAGTTGTTCCTAGGACTAGGCAGAAGAAGAAGCCATCTTGGGCCCTTTAGCAGAAGTGGGGGACCAAATAGCCTATGTTGCTGAAGTTATTCACTGCTCATAGGGGAGGAGGTCACACGTTGGCCTTTTTGCCTTGAACCTTGTCCTGCCACTGCTTTTTGGGTAGATTTACCCTCGCTTTCTGTCAAAACAGGAAGTGGTGGAAATTCTCTGACAATTACTTATTCCTATTTTTTTTCCTGGTGTCACGGACAGGAAGTGAGGGGAAATATTTCTCTGTAACAGCTAAAATCTGACACAAATATTAAGTCGTCCCACTCTATCAAAGTACTGAAATGCTGTTTTGATGTTTCATTTATAAGATTTTTTTTTTTTGCTGGTTAAGTAGCAATGGATCTCAAAATTAAGTCTAAAAAATGGATGGAAGCACAGGCACTCTCCCATAATATGGAGGGAGCTGTTGGATCGAGGAGGCAAGGGATTGCTGCTTGGAGGATTTAACGAATTCATGGAACATGCACAAGTAAGATAACTAATTATACCTCAGAAAACTAATTATGTAGCTAATAACTAATTGTAATATAGGCTGCATTCTTTGTATATTGTAATAGCATTCATATGTTTTTATTTCATTTTTGTTTCTCTAGCACCTAGGCTATTTTTGTATTCTTTGCAACACACAAATTTGCATATTTTGTCCCCTTTCCTTCGTTTATAGCATATTAGAGAAAGAATGAGATAAAATAGGGCCTGCTTGAAGTTTTTTTTTTTTTTGTTTTTTTGTTTTTTTTTGGATAGAACAAGGATTCTTTTAAATTTGGATAGTATAGATAAGGATTACAACCTTTGTGAGGTTTTTATTGTTGTTTTTGTCTTTTTTGGGCAGCTTTAGCATCCCAGTTACCATTGTTTTAGTGTCCCCAATATAGCAATTGATAGAAAATGCAAAATTTTAGTTATTATAGGAATAAGGGGGGTGGAAACCTGTCCGGGTGACAACTGTCTAAAGGGATTTCTTCTTGATTTGGAGAGATTTCCTCTTACTTGCTGCTGTATCTCTGCTGCTTGCTGCTGTATCTCTGGGATAGAGATGAAGGGAAATCTTGTCTGGACTGGACACAGACAGAACAGACTTCATAGGGGTCTTAAATATTACCTGCTCTATCACAAATAAACAATTTAGTTTTACATACACCAAAAGAACATCAGTCAATCAAATACAGATGTCAGAAAAGAATCCATTAGACCTTACCCAGTATCCATCTTGGGCAGCTAGTTCATTCTGTAAAGATGCCTGCTCCAGCATTAGTCAAGGAAATCTAACTCCTATATTTTACTGTCTGTGTCTTGTTGGGGAGATTTGTCCTCAACTCCCAATCTTCAAGACATAATAGGAAGTGGGAGGATATCTCACCAAAGTGGGAGTAATCCATATCTTTGACACTTGTCACCAGAAACTTTGTCCACTTTCTTCTCGCCACTTGCTCTCCACGCTCACTTACCGTACTGTACACTAAAAGAGTATTAATTGAAAATATGTACTCACTGAAAACACACTATAGGTTCCAATTAAATAAGACACATACCGGTAAATTACATAGAATCTGTTAAAGTACAACTAAAGGCAAAACGTTGTGGAGAGGTATTAGAACCACTGTCAGTTGTTATTGCTGTCTACGCCCCTGTTAAAGAGATTCACCCTCTCTATTTGTCCTATTTACCATTATCATTGAAAGTGAAAGTAAAAGAAAATCTCATTTTTGGGTTGTCTTAAGAAAAGTAATAGAAGGGAAATCTTCCAACGGGGATGCTAGTTTTGGTGACCCGTGGTTCCCCGAGGGATTCCTTTAACCGCTTGACCTCCCGAGGATTTACCCATCTTCCTGACCAGGCCATTTTTTGTGTTACTTTAACTGACAATTGCGCGGTCATGCAACGCTGCACCCAAATTAAATTTATGTCCTTTTTTTCCCACAAATAGAGATTTCTTTCGGTGGTATTTGATCAGCTGTGCAGTTTTACATTTTTGCGCTATAAACAAAAAAAGACTGAAAAATTTGAAAAAAAAACTATATTTTTTATTTTTTGCTATAAAACATATCCAGTAAAAAAAAATTAAAAATCTAATTTCTTCATAAATTTAGGCCAGAATGTATTCTGCTACATGTCTTTGCTCGAAAAATCCCAATACATGTAAATTAATTGGTTTACGTGAAAGTTATAGCATCTACAAATTGCATTATATATACTGGAATTTTTGTTTAAAATTTTTTTTAAACTAGTAATGGCAGCGATCAGCGACTTATAGCGGGACTGCGGCGGGCATTCTGACACTGGGTGGGAGCTGACTAACTGCCACTGACATCCCCAGTGACACTAATACAGTGATCAGTGCTAATAAAAAGCACTGGCACTGTACTAATGACACTGGGCAAGAAGGGGTTAACATCTGGGGTGATCAAAGGGTTAACTCTATACTGTGTGCTGTTTTACTGTGTGTGCTGTGTGTGTTTTACTAGGGAAACATACTGCTGTGTATTTCTCTGTTGTGCAGAGAAATACACAGCAGCATGTTACTGCTGGCAGGAGAGAGACCTATGTTGTGGCAAGAGAGAGACCTGTCAGTGTTACTCAGCAATTGCTGGGTTCCATCGGGGAATCTCCGACTGAGACCTGGTGATCGACATTTGTAGCTGCCAATGGCCGGCATGGGTAGGAGCGACACATGCGCCATGCTGCCCTGTAGCAGTACTTCTGCTATAGTGCAGTCGGGAAGCAGTTAATTTGCAGGGATTTCCTCTCACTTCCTGTTTTGGCTATGGGACAGGAAGTGAACGTAAATCTCCCCAATGGGACAGAGATGGCAAAAAATAAACTGACAGGGGTTATAACCCTTCCTTACTTTATCAAAAATGGGAAAAAAAGGTTTTGCCTGTAGTTCTACTTAAAACAGTAGACTCTGTACACTGTTTATCCTGTAATCTCAAAGGTCATTTGACTGGGATGGTGAACTACTAGAGGGATAGGCTAAGCCCCTGTTCACATATATGCGAATTGGATGCGTTTGAACCGACATGCCATGTGAACCTCCAGTCTTTTCTATGCAGCCGGTTTACATATGTGCGGGCCACCAGCAGTGCAATTTCCAAAGGGTCCGGTACGATTTACAATATGTAAACCCGGTCTAAACGGGTATTATGAAACTCATGAAATCATACAAAAATTCAAATAGCAAACGTGAAATATGAAAGTTGCATCATGAATTATTGTCAAGTGTTTCTAATTCACATTTACTTACTGTTAGTTTCCCTTTAACTTGTAACACATGCCTGCAAAGTGAGCCTGTAGTCTTACATTCTAAAATTGCCCCATGTCCATAGAATATTCTCTGTATCTTTAGAACACCCTAAAATTTTTATACCTTGGGACACTCTGTTATTAGATACTGACCATACTTCTGGCATGGAATTTTTGCTCACTTCCTGCTTCCTCTCCTCACATTTCCATTAATATCAAACACAATGGTGGGCCTTACTGGCCAATAGTAAAGCTTTAATAGTAGAAGCTGGCTGGCCAGTTTACCCATGCAGGCTGTAGTGGATAGTTGCCTTATAGAGCATTGTTATAATTGTGAGTTTTGTGTCTCTTTTGATTATACTACGAGGATGCGAGCAGGCACTTGGCGATTTTTGGACCTGGGACATGGATTTAGCATGCTCTCCCAATTTTTTTACATGTGTTTATCTAGTCTGTTGACTTATTTTTCAGGAATACTACAATGTAAGTTCAGCTATGTTGAGTGATTTAATGAAGGATATTGCAACAGAAAACTTAGAAGCTCATATCAATTTAAACATGGAAGAACAGGAAATAAAAAGACAGTTTAAACCTCTTCATGTCTGGATCACCAGGTATGGAAACCAAGTACTCAACATTGATCATAAACAAAACTTTAAAGCCTTTACATCTTTTTAATTTAGAGTTAACAGCAGGGGCGGACTGACAACTCATGGGGCTCCCGGGCAATAAGGGATTATGGGGCCCCTGTGTCCTTGCCCACACCCAAAAAAGGCTATGAAAAAGGTACCAGGGGCATCTCATGGGGCCCCCTACTGACCCCGGGCCCTCGGGCAGTGCCCAAGTGCTCAAATGGTCAGTCCACCCCTGGTTAACAGTAAATGATAGGCTTAAAATTGCTGCTCTCACTCTGGTGTGCTCTGCGATGCCTAACATGTGTGGCGCAAACACCATTTTTGTACGTGTGAGCAACTGATGGCTCACCTTTGCATTTGTATTTCTGTCTCTCTGTCTGTGACTCTCTAATATCACCCCTGCACTCCCCTTCACCCTGTTGAGGATGATTGAGCACAGATTGTATTTGATCAGCTGCTTCCCCAGTCTGACAGCATTGAACTCAGAAGTGCTTGGGTTCATACTTCACAGGAGAGATCGGAAAATGTACTTTAGCTTATCTCCCACAGATCTCCCTCCTGACACCTGACATTAAATGTTTCTCCCCCTCCCCCCCCCCCCCCCCCCCCCCCCCCGGAAGGACAGGTAAGCCTGGGATGGGTGGAGAGGAAGAGGGGCGTCATGTTCTCAAGCATGTGAAAGTGATCAGGCAGCTATCAGAAATGACTTCTACTGCATAGCTAGTAGTTGAGAGTAAAAAGGTGAACAAACTCCTCCAGGCTGTAATTGCTGGCAGGAGTTTGTTTAAATGCTGGCACTGCCGCCGCTACCATAGGTACGATGGTGGCAGCAAAAAAGGGGTTGGAGCCCAGCTGAAGTCTCACACCGTTTTAACTTTTAATAGTCCTGAGCTTCCACATATTATGATTTGACACTAATTTGTTTCTTGGAATTTCTTTAAATGCAGTTTCTCTCAGTGAAAATACTGTTTTCTGCTATCCTTGTCCAGTGCTCTATTCTGTTACCACACATAGAACTCTGCTCAGCACAAGTCCCGACTCGTTTTTGACTTGTGATTTGTATAACAGAGGGGGAGAATGGATTGATAAAGAGCAACAGATTGTTAATACGTTTTAATCCTAGAATTTTAGGCCTTTGTGACTAGAGCAGTTCCAGCTAGGATGTTATTATTCTCTTTTTTCAGATATCTACATTCAGATTCATTGACACTAGAAATGTTTGAATATGTATGCATTAGCAAATGCAGTTGCAGCCCTCATTTGGGTGGGGTTATGACAAATAGCCCTCCACAAACAGGATATTGCACTAAGCCTGTAGGCAAAATAAGAGGACCAGAACCTTCACTAAGTGGAAGAGTGGGATTGACATTAAAGTTGGCAGTGCCTCCACCCAGGACAGGGCCTCTGTGAACAGAGTGGGTTCCCTCCTTGGGAAATTTACCAGTTATCTAATCAAAGTAATTGCGAGGAGAGGAACTAGTGTAACCACCATATAACATTAACCACAAGTATATAGATACACATAGTATGGAAATAATACACACTTAAGAAAAGAATAGTGGTACATGCATCCTATGTACAAACAGATATTATCAGCAAATGGCCCAACAAGAGTCCTGGTGGAATTGTGCACATATACCCAGGTATACATAGTTTATAATAAAGATATCTCCAGAAGAATGTTGCAGCAAAGTCCAGTTGCAGGGGCCCCTGAGGATTATTGCAATGTGCTGTCCATCTTTGTGTTGAAGACCTGAGGACAAGAGACCCTCCAGCTGTTGTCCAGCCAGCCTGGAACTCAGCTTCTCACCAGAAGGAACCATGATGTGGCACTGAAACTAAGACTCTTCATCTTAGTCCCTAGTAGTTTCTAATCTGTTGTGCAACTGGATCTCTAACTACCATGGCTAACCTGACTCTAATTTATGATGGTTATTAAGCCCTAAGATAAAACTAGCTATAAAATCCCAGACCAAAAGGGACAGGGTTAACTAAAATAACAGGAGCTGCATATATATTCTATTGTAATAAACAGGTTCATCTAGTAATATACTTGAAGATACCCACTACACACATACAGTAGCACAGTCTAGCACAGCTACCTGGCACTGTGCATGTAAAATAATAACAAGAGGACAGAGATACCTCTGTCTGTTACAAGGATTATATACACACTCAAGAAGCTAGGGGCAGCTGCAGTCAAACTATTAGAACATAGGGATACATGCCTAACAGTCTCTGCTTCTGGCTAAGTGAAACATATGGAACCCCTATATGTAGACATGTGGCCTCCATAAAACACTCTATCTACTTCCTTCCTCTGGGGTTTTAAAGCCAGCCTCCTAGTGACAGGAAGAGTTAATATTTAATTATACATCACACTGTGATATTAACAGCTAACAGTAGAAGGCAGCAGATCCCTACACAGTTTTCTTTTTTTTTTATGCTTTTTGAGAGTCCTAGTTCATCGGATCTAAATAGAAAACTCTTTCCAATAAAGCAAAATATTGCACAAATTATAAGTATTTTTGATGAGTAAAATTATAGTAATTCCAAATGAAAAAGAGAATATGTCTCTTCACAAATAAGGAAATGTGGCCTATTTTCTTAAAACTGATTTTTTAAAGGCTTACATACTGTTTTGCATGGTGGGTTGGGGAGCTAGGAAATACTGGGACCTTGCATTTATGTGCAAGGTTGGCTTTAAAGACAAAATGTTTGATTTTGCTATTCCTTTTTATGTCAAAGTTTTACCAATACTGCATAGCATATATTACTTGGTTTATATTAATGTAATAATTAAAATCTGTTTAATTAGGCAGTCATATTAAGGGAACCTTAATATTATAAACAGTTTCAGTATAATATATTTGTAATATAAAAAAATGATATTTTCCAAATGTTAATTTGACTTTCTGGTGACTTTTATGTATTTTAGTGCATCAATGCCTACTTGCTACAGTTTACTTCCTATTCTGGCTACTGGTGAAGTCTTTGGTCCAGAGAAAGCTATTTGGTTGCACTTATTGGACAATAGCCAATCCATGGATACCCTGCAAGGACTGAAAATGGAGGTGGAAGACTTAGCTTTTCCATGTATAAGACAAGTAACATTGCATACGATGGCTGATGATGTGTTTCTCCAAGCTGACTTTGTAATTGTCCTTGATGATGTTCTTCTGAAAGCTGATCAGTCCCCAGAAAATTACATTAAGATAGTTACAGAAGAGTGTGCAAAGTATGGCAGGCTCATTGACCAGAATGCAAACAAGGAAGTGAAGGTGGTTGTGTCAGGAAGTACCTACGCAAATCTTAAAGCCCTAGTGGTGTTGAAAAATGCACCATCCATCAATAATCATCATGTAGTGGCTTTACCAACACAACTGGAGTTTGAAGCAAAAGCTCAGATTGCAAAAAAATTGAATGTAAATTCATCAGGTGTGTACTACTGTTTTGTAATTATGACACTCAACAGGAAGATGTACAGTACATGTAAAAACAAAAGGTTCCGTTTCCGTATAGGGGGGTGGGCCAAATCCAGCCAAAACTATGTTCTGCATGATTGTTGACAATTTTGAAAATATGCTGGCACCTTCTTTCTTTCAGAGACCCCACTGACAAGTATCACTAACAAAAACGTCTATTTCCACTTAGCTGTTACAAAGACAAGTGATTAGGCTTCCCTGATGTTTAGAGACTAAATATGTTATTATAATCTTGAGGTAGAGGACAGAGTTAAAAACTATTGTGGAGAAATCTCAGCTTTGGCATCTGCAGCTACCCACTGCTTATTTAAAACTGACATAGGAGTGGCAGTAGAGTTGGTATACCTTAGGTTTGATAAGATTTTCTGGTTTTATCTGAGAAGTAGAATGGAAAGTTTAAATGATTTCTTACATGACATAATTAGTGCCAAATCTGCAGTGCAGTCAATCGGCCATGCTGCTGGTGGCCAGTGCGGTGTGGTTGAGCATCTGATGTTTAATATTAACTTAGTTCTTATTGACACATTGTTGTCTAGCAGGATTTGTGCATTAGAATGATAAAGGGCTTTCTTGGTAAATCTGAGCATGCTTTTCAGACTCAGTGTCTTATACACACTCTGGGTTCACACCAAAACATGGTGCTGGAAAGGCTTGTTCTGTGCCAGTTTCATGCATCACAGGTGAACGGACTGCCCTTGCAAGATTGCAAGGGTGCCAATGAACTGTTAATGGCACCCCAAACACATCTTGCAGCACGTTTACGGCCACCAGATTACATGGCAGTGCGGTTTGTTGCAGTGTGGTCTGAAAAAGTAGTGCTTACACTACTTTTTTTGCATTTCAGTGCATTTGCAGCTCATTCAAATGACTGCGCTATAAGAACCAACAGCACAAGAATGTGCAGAAATGCATGCTCTTAAACATGCACATTACGGTGTGGACCAGTCCTTAAAGTGAATCTGTGCTTAACCTCCTCGGCGGTATGATTCTTTCCGATTTTTTGTGCTGAAAGCTGTACCATTTTTTGCATGGAAATATGTCGTTTTTTATTGTAGGCTGTAATTTTTAGTAATAACTCACTGAAATCTGTACGAACAAGAGTCTAGTAGACATCCCGGGTAGGATAAAACTTGAAACACGAAATCATAAATTATAATTTAATAAATATTCATAAAAAATAATAATATAATAATAAATTTAGTTCAATAATATAATCAAAACAAAAACACTGAAATTTGAAATACAGAGGCAAATTCGCACATCGCTGAGCAAAGTCGCAAAATCGTTTTCAGTGTCTGATGACGAATTTCCCCATGAATCATTATCACTCAATTCTGCAAGTGGTTCTGATTTACTATCGCTGTTCTAAAACCGCTTTTGACGTAAAGGGACGCTTTTTGGACGCCATGGACTTTTCTAAGTTTCCAGGCAGAAAGAACAGTCAAAATGTAGGCAGGGCACAGGACAAAGCACTAGGGACAATATGTATGTGAAATGCATTGAAACAGCAATGGCAGCAAAAATGAAATTTTTTAAAAATTTCAAATTTCCCGCCGGTTCTAGCGCCCGTTCGTCCCGACGTCACAGGGACCAGAACACGGAAGCCGGATGCCGGCATCGGCCGGAGGAGATGGGCGGGGACGCTGCAGGGGACACATCGCGGGAGCGAAGGACAAGGTAAGTGCTGCAGGGACCCCATGAGCAACGCCGCATGGTAAGCCCAAGTGTAGCTCGGGGTTACCGCTTTTGGTACTCAAATTTTAACCCGAGCTACACTCGGGAATACCGATAAGGAGGTTAAGCCCTGCAGAGAAAGTAACAGGTTCATTTTAATGTTGACTCCCACTCTACTTATACTTACACTTATCTTTTATTTGACTATGTACAAAAGCAAGCAGAAATCCTGCATAAGCATATGTGTGCAAAGCACAGGTTCACTTTAACATAGCTTTATACAAATAATTTAAAATATATAAAGCAGTTTGTAAACTCGAATACTTTCAAAAATGTTAAAATTAAGAAATGTAAAAAAGATGTTTCCAGTTTTAAAACTCGAAATGGTCACTGAGATAAAGGGAAGTGAAAACCATGATATCATTGAGATTTGATAAAAGTTCCTGCTAATTTAAAATGTTATGGTTCAGTTCACTAATGGGAAGAGACGTTTTGGGCAAATTCAACTCAGTATGTTCTTATTGTATTTGATTGCCTTTTGTATATTTCTGACAGTTGTGAAGGATGTGATAGTTTGGGGTAACATCAGTGGTATTAATCACCTTGAACTGAACCAAGCAAAGATATACACGTATGACAGTTCCATATGGGGACCTCCCAGTTACTCACGCCCTTTGTTTGATATGATATTTGACAGGTAAGTATTAATTGTTATTTGACTAATTAGTTCATGATAACTATAGCTGAACATTACTAACCAACCAACATATGGTAACAATGCCCAAAATATGGTCTTTGAAAATGTGAGCTGTAGTGCAAAGAAATTATGGATGCCCAAAATATGGTCTTGTTATATAATACTTTTATAAAAAATACTACATTTCAATTATCAGCATTTCCCGTTGCTTTCAGCTTTTATATCTATATGCACTATAAATACAGTATGTGCCGGAAATGATAAAATGTGGGTAATGGGGATTCACAAACAGGCATTAAAAAAAAAAAAAAGTGAAAATGTTTTGCAGTAGTTTTTAACTCTTGTTTGTCTTCCTTATATAATATGTACCAATACAATTTTACTGGATGCTTCATTAAACGTATAACATTTATTTTGATTTAATGGCAGAAAATGGATGAAGAATGACCTAGTGAGAGAGTGGAGATTTCGAAAGCAACATCGTTCTGGCTTGTCTGCAGCTCATTCTATTGCCAGTGTTCTGTCCTGGTGGCAACAGCATTCAAATCATCGGGAGATTGTTTCACTCGGTGTCCTTAGTGAAGGTAATCATAATGATTAACACACCAGTGGCATGTTATTTACTGGTATGTAAGACTTTGTTGTTTTCATTATATGGGCATGAGCTGATAACACCCATGAAAAAAGGGAAGGAATGTGACAGCTTTGATCCTTTCATAATTGGTATTATAAGTTTGATTTATATTTGTGTGGCAATATCTGAATGTCTAAAGGAACCAAACCATGTGCCTAGTATGAGGGTTGCAATTTTGTATTTTACTTAATTCATTCCAAGCAAAATCTTCCTTCTGTGGCCTTCCTGGCAATATATGCCCTTGCTTTAAAGCAGGATTAAACCCAAAATCAAAAACGTAATACATTGTAGCTTACCAATCATTCGATGTGGTGGCTGTATTTATTTTCTTATTTAAGGCTTTTTTCCCTCTGTTTTTAGCTAGTGATCAGGCAAGCAACACACATCGTGCATTAGAGTGCTTCCACTCTGGATGAAGGAGCATGGGGGCACAGCAGACAGCACCACTGTCAGGCTGGGAGGGAGGGAAGTACTAGATTTATTAGAAAATTTAAATATACTATCCAATCAAAGCCAAACTCCAACTAATACTTTACAAAAAGTTACAGCAAACAGCCTTTTTTCTTTTGGGATAAATGTGTTACATAAATAAATTAAACTGATCATTTTAAGCACCCCTGTCAGTTCTGAATGCTTTGTCTCATCCCTGTAATTGATATACAGTGAGGAACAGAAGTATTTGAACACCCTGCGATTTTGCAAGTTCTCCCACTTAGAAATCATGGAGGGGTCTGAAATTCACATTGTAGGTGCATTCCCACTCTGAGAGACAGAATTTAAAAAGAAAATTCAGGAAGTCACATTGTATGATTTTTAAAGAATTTATTTGTCTTGCACTGCTGAACATAAGTATTTGAACACCTGAGAAAATCAGTGTTAATATTTGGTACAGAAGCCTTTGTTTGCAATTACAGAGGTCAAACGTTTCCTGTAGTTCTTGACCAGGTTTGCACACACTGCAACAGGGATTTTGGCCCACTCCTCCACACAGATCTCCTCTAGATCTGTCAGGTTTCGGGGCTGTCGCTGAGCAACACGGAGTTTCAGCTCCCTCCAAAGATGTTTGTTGGATTTAGGTCTGGAAACTGGCTAGGCCACTCCAGAACCTTGATATGCTTCTTACGGAGCCACTCCTTGGTTACCCTGGCTGTGTGCTTCGGGTTGTTGTCATGTTGGAAGACCCAGCCACGACCCATCTTCAATGCTCTGACTGAGGGAAGGAGGTTGTTGCTCAAAATCTGACAATAAATGGCCCCATTTATCCTCTCCTTAATGCAGTGCAGTCGTCCTGTCCCCTTCACAGAAAAGCACCCCCAAAGCATGATGTTACCACCCCCCCATGCTTCACAGTAGGGATGGTGTTCTTGGGATGCAACTCATCCTTCTTTTTACTCCAAACACTACAAGTGAAGTTTAAACCAAAAAGTTCTACTTTGGTCTCAACTGACCACATGACTTTCTCCCAGGCCTCCTCTGGATCATCCAGATGGTCATTGGCAAACTTCAGATGGGCCTGGACATGTGATGACTTGAGCAGTATTATCATGCAATGCATGATTTGAAACCATGACGGTGTAGTGTTCTACCGACAGTGACCTTTGAAACTGTGGTCCCAGCTTTCTTCATGTCATTGACCAGCTCCTCCTTGTAGTTCTGGGCTGATTCTTCACCTTTCTTATCAGTTATACCCCACGAGTGAGATCTTGCATGGAGCCCCAGTCCGAAGGAGACTGACAGTCGTCTTTAGCCTCTTCCATTTTCTAACAATTGCTCCAACAGTTGATCTATTTTCACCAAGCAGCTTGGTAATTTGCCCCGTAGCCCTTCCCAGCCTTGTGGAGGTCCACAATTTTGTCTCTAGTGTCTTTTGACAGCTCTTTGGTCTTGCCCATGGTAGTAGTTGACGTCTGACTGACTGTGGGGTGGACAGGTGTCTTTAAAGAGCTCAGACGGGGGCTACTAAGTTAGATTAATGAGTTGAGTAGAGGTGGAATTTTTAACCATTTCAATACCGTGCAATTTTACACCTTCCTGCCCAGGCCATTTTTCACGTTTCAGCGCTCTCACACTTTGAATGACAATTGCGCAGTCATACAACACTGTACCCAAACTAAAATTTTATCATTTTCTTCACACAACTAGAGCTTTCTTTTGGTGGTATTTAATCACCGCTGGGGTTTTTTATTTTTTGCTAAATTAACAAAAAAAGGCCAAAAATGTTGAAAAAAAAAATACACGTTTTTCTTTGTTTCCGTTATAAAAATTTACAAATAAATAATTGTTCTTCATAAATTTAGGCCGAGATGTATTCTGCTACATGTCTTTGGTGAAAATAACCCAAATTAGGATGTATTATTTAGTTTGTAGGAAAGTTATAGAGTTCACAAACTATGGTATAGATCTGATTATTGATCAATCCTGAAGTACTGACGGCCAATCTAATTTCTTGAGGTCTAAGAATGTCAGAATAGTACAGATATCCCCAAATGAGCCCTTTTTGCAGAGTAGACAGTCCGACGTACTTCATAAGAGGCATGGCGAGTTTTTTGAAGTTGTATTTTTTTTGTCATAATTTTTCGGAAAATGAAAAAATTAAAAAAATTTTTTCACTATTTTGTTTTTACATACTGTCACCAGTACAGTACAGCGTCATCATATAACTGGCATGGCGGTGAACAGGGACACTGACTGGTGACAGTATGAAAAAAAAAAAAAATATATATATTTTTTTTATTTTTAATTTTTTTTTTTTTTTTTAACATTTTTTTTTAATATTTTACTATGACCAAAGTAGTACAATGTTACCATAGTAACATTGTACTACTTTGGGGAAGTGATCAGTATTTTTTTTTTTTTTTTTTTTACACAATTTGCTTATAGCAAAGAAATACTTTGCTATAAGCAAGCATTTACCTGAATGAAATGGATTCATTCAGCTTTTTTTTTTTTTGTGCTTAGCTGTGATTTGGTCACAGCTAATCACATGACATGTGCATGTGATTAGCTGTGACCATTCACAGCTAGGCACTAGTATACAATGGATGGCATCATGAATGAAGCCATCCACTGTATACAACTGTCATGTGACCTGCTGTGATTGGTCACAGCAGGTCACATGGTACCTGCAACGGGGGCCGGTACTCAGATCTGTCATCGGCCGTGTCCGAGGTACACGCCCGGTGACAGATCGAGCCGCTGCGCCGCTCTGCATTAGCGCAAACGGCGCATGTGCGGGAGCACGCCAAATGGCGTGCACCCGGAGTGGAGAAGCAACTTTGAAGCCGCCAAACGGCCATTGGCCGGGCGGCAAATGGTTAAAGGCACAGTAACAGGTCTTTGAGAGCCAGAATTCTTGCTGTTTCTTAGGTGTTCAAATACTTATGTTCAGCAGTGCAAGACAAATACATTCTTTAAAAATCATACAATGTGATTTCCTGAATTTTTTTTTTTTAATTCTGTCTGTCAGAGTGGGAATGCACCTACCATGTGAATTTCAGACCCCTCCATGATTTCTAAGTGGAAGAACTTGCAAAATCGCAGGGTGTTCAAATACTTCTGTTCCTCACTGTATCTGCAAGAGAGCTTGTTCTTTTGAAAAACATCATAATTACTGGCAGTATCATAGATAAAAATAGAAGGAAGAAAGAAAGCCTAAAAAAGAAAACAAACGACCATCACATCTAAGAATTGGTAAGCTGCAATATAATAAATGTTTTCTTTGGGGTTAATACTGCTTTAAATGCCCATTTACACCAGGATGGTCTTCTGCAATTAAAGTGTATTATATCAGGCATTAATGTGAATGGGATGATATTGCACCACAGAGAACCAAAAACTGGACATGCGGCAATTTTGGCGAGTGCAGCACATTGCAAAGCTTGATAGTGTGGTAAGGTGTGTTGGGATGACAGCACCTGCATGCTTATTTTGGGTTGGGAACTTGAACTGAAGTCTGAAATAACCAGCCAGCTAGCATTTTCAGGAGAAGAACAGCAATAGCATTTAACATATTCCTCATATGACAGATTCACTTTAAGGGTCAGTGAGCGACTTTACGTATTTTGGCTGTGGGAAGTGCAATGGGTTGTGGTACCACAGTTCTGACTCCAAATTTTCAGTGCCAAAACCAACCAATTCAATGTTCAGAAGCTATAAATGGTTGGGATATGAATTATCAAACTGACCTATTAGTATTTTGTTTTCTTAGGCCATTTTGATCTTCCAGATGACATTGTTTACTCCATGCCTGTGCAATTCAGAGATGGAAATTGGAAGGTATATACCCAGGCTGACATTCTGGAGGATGCAAGAGAAATATTACAACAAGCTGCCTCTGAACTAATTGAGGTAAAGTTCCATTAGAATGTTTA